TACTTTCACCTAATATTCTTTGTTGGTAAGCTAGACAGGCATTCTAAGAAGCATGAGGAATTACATATTGTCCTGGTTTTTCACTAGAGCTGTTTTTTAACCATTTGCTTATGATTCATATGGTCATCTCATCATGATCAATTGCATAAAATTTGAGAGTGTGCCAGCGTCCTTCTGAGTTTAGCACTGTGTATTTTATGTGTTTCAACTCCTGAGGAAGTTTTCTTAATTACTTAAGGAATCTAAAATTTTCTGGACTATTAACACGGGCTTTGTTTTTTAGTCTCTCATAACTACTGCGTAGAATCTTTATTTTACAAGGGTGTCTATGTCTATAAAACCTATAGCATGCTGTAGGTTTTCCTTCTTCTGAATTGTTTTCATGGAGGAAGCCCTACACAGATTCACACACAGGGGAAGTAGGTGTACATTCAAGGGGTTTTCTGCTTGAATTGTGGACAGTATCTGACTGTGGAAATCAGATGCTTTTTACCAATGCTTCTATGACTTCTCATAATGGGTAATTTCCTATGACATTGGAGTAATTGAAATTCTCTTAAATATTTAAAGAGTGTATGTATTATACCCCACAATGTAATATTTCAAGTTTACATATTTGTACTAAAGCCAAAAATATTTTCAATTTACTGTTTTTAATTTTCAAAATCATAAAGTATATCCATGTGCCTTATTAAAGTTTTACATTCATACAACATACTTCCAAATTTATATCCTCTCATTGTTTATTTAAAAACGAGTGAACCAATAACTATGATGCTTGATTAAATTGTCAGTTTTCAGGAGAGTCTTAAAATTGTCAGGAGACACCTAAAATTTATTTCCAGTCACTCAAAATATCATTCCACGGTGCTAATTTGCGTACAATTTTATAATGAATTTGTATCAAGATTTGGATTCAGCGTAGTGTATATTCTCCTTTGATATTCCATATATTAACTTTTGAGTCATGTTAACCCATGTCAAAGTGCACCAATTACATGTAGTCCCCTACGGCAGCACAAAGGGGATAGTCTCTTCATCACATAGCCCACATACCTCTGCACCGTAAATTCCCCGCAAGGTCATGTCACTCCTTCCTGCCGCTTACCCAGTAATTTCTCATAAGAGAATCCACCTCAAGAGAGCCAGAGTGGTGATTCTCTCTAGTCCCCTCTCTTCATGTTGCTGGGTCATACCTGTAGGGACAGACTCAGAGCAGCACCACACAAGAAGCAAAATGACAGCTGAGACCCCAGCTTCTGTCCTCCACCGGCCTCGTGGAGAGGACAGGGTGCAGTGGTTCGGGGGCACCATGGGCCTTAATGGGAGGAGTGGTGGTAAGAGGGAATGCCCTTGTCCCTGTCCTGTGCCCCGTGGTAAGGGTTAGAGAGTTTTCATAGTAGCCAGGTGAGGAAAGGCATCATGATAGAAAAAGGGGTTTAAAGTTCTCAGTGTTTCCCCAGGCTCCACAAATTATCCATCACACTGGAGGTACAGTAACATTAATACAGCACTCATGTACTGCCTTCTAAATGTTCAGTTTCTTACAAGGTTGACTAGCTTTAGCTTTACAACTTGGTTCATCTGGGGTAAATCAAGCTCTTCATCTGTAACATTTTGTGGTCAGATTGGCTTAATGGCATAGTATGAACACAGTCATTTAGAAGAGTGTTTTCAGATAATTTCAGACTTACAGAAAACCTGCAATATCCCTGATATTCCTTCATTCAGATTTTCCAGTGGTCAGCGCACCACTACATTTGCTCCATCATAGAAAATTGTCCACTGTATTTTTCCAATTAGAGGCACAATTTACCACAGAAATATGACATGACCCACATTAGGAAATCAAAATTGTTGATAATTCTTACCTGCAGACCAGCTTTAAATATCAGCAAGTGCATCAACTATGAGAAAAATATGTCTGCATTCTGGGCCATAGACTTTCTGTCATTTTCATGACCTCAGTTGGGTTAGAGTCCAAAGTTCTCCAACATCATTATGTGCAGGCTCAAGAGTCCTTGTGTTCTTGGCCTTAGACGGGAAGCTTTCAATGTTTCACTGCTGAGTATAGTGTTAACTATAGGTTTGTTGTATATGGTCATTATCATGCTGAGGTTATTCCTTCTCTGCTCTGTTTCTTGTGGGTTTTTTATAGTAAAAGTATATTGTATTTTGTAGCATGCTTATTCTGACTCTACTGAGATGATACGGTTTTTTTCATTTACCTCTAATCTCATATGATTTGCATATTGAACCACATGCCTCCTTGGCATAAGTGTCAGCTGGTCATGTGGAAAATCCGTTTAATGTGACCTTGAATTTGGTTTACTAATACTTCTAGAAAATGCTCATCTATTTTATTTTTTATTTTTTTATTAAGGTATCATTGATATATAATCTTATGAATGTTTCACATGAGCAACAGTGTGTTTACTACATTCCCCCTTATTATCAAGTCCACAACACATATCCCATTACAGGTACTGTGCATCAGCATAGTAAGAATCTTGCATCTATTTTCAATAAGAATATTGGTCTGCAGTTGTGTTTTGTCATGGCATCCTAGTCTGGATTGATATCAGGGTAATGGTGGCCTCATTGAGTGAGCTTGGAAGTGTTCTGTACTCTCCAAGTTTTTGGAAGATTTTGAGAGAGATTGACATTAATTCTTTAAGAGTTTGGTAGAATTCTTCAGTGAAGCTCTCCGATTACCGGAATCTCTTGTACAGCAAGTGTTCTCTGTCTTTTTTTTTTCATTCATTTATTTTTTCATCAAATACTTTATTTTTTTTATTTTGGTATCATTAATATACAATCACGAGCAACATTGTGCTTACTAGATTACCCCCATTATCCCGTCCCCACCACATACCCCATTACAGTCACTGTCCATCAGTGTAGTAAGATGCTAGAGTCACCACTTCTCTTCTCTGTGCTACACTGTCTTCTCTGTCTCCAGAGAAGATCATAGCCTTTCACTGCTGCCTCTCAGCACAGGCCTGTTATTTGTACGGGGTCAGTAGGTTCTCCAACTGCGTTTTGTATATGGAAGATGCTTCTGATGATTCTGCAAAGTTGCAGTCTTATGGCTGGGGAGCCGCAACTCGGGGTCAGGCAGCGCGGGAGAGGCCGGGGTGTGAGCCCTCCCTGCAAGCCCATCCCGGTGTCTGCATCACTGCCGAGTTTGAAGCATCCAGTGAGGACGCAGGACGCTGGAGTTCGGGCAGCCGGCCCGTCCTGGGCGGAGCGAGGATGCTCCGAGTGCCGCACCGGGGGCGGGGCGAACCACGCGTCCCGCGAGGCCCACAGATCCCGGGGGCGGAGTCTGCGTTCCCACAGCCGGCCGTGCTGCCGCGCAGGGAGGCGCTGCCGCATCGCGGGCAGCTGCGGGGACAGCCGCGGGAGGCGCGCCCCCCGGCGACTCCGCCTCCCCGGGCCCGCTGCTCAGGTCGGCCCACAGGCTGGCTAGCTCAACGCGAGCCAGCCGCCCTCTGGATGAGTCGG